CTGGGGCTGCTAGAAACTAATTGGAAAAAAAAAGTGCAGTCCATGTGGCTTTGCCAGGAAAGTGGGGATGAAGTAAAATTGTTCGTTATAGCATAAAGGAGATGTGTTTTAAACCGTATCATCACATCTATTCGAGGGACTGATGGGAGTCACTTTATGTAGTACAATTAACGTATAATAACAGAATAAAAGGCAAAGATATTTTGTATTCAAACCTTTGAAATCACAATGACGAGTGTAGAAGCCAACTCAGGACCAAGCTGTGCAATCTGATGATCAATTCCTGCTGGATCGGTATTGTCAATAAATCTTATCTGCCAACTCGACAAAAAAAAAAAATCATTTGCACATTGATAAAGAATCAAAATAGGAGGGATAAAGTGATTGGCACTGAACTACACCCATATTTCATACAATTCTTCCAATTCCAACTGAAAGCACCTGAGTAAACCGCCCTTCCGGCGAAGATGGGGGAAGTCTATAATGTCACGGAAAAGGTTGCGTGTAGGTAGAAAGTACAATGCACTTGTAAATGTACCTTAAGAGGAGGGTTATCAGGAGCTAATGCCTCAGCAACGAACTGTGGTCCAAGTGCTGAACCACCAATTCCAACTGAAAGCACCTGAGTAAACCGCCCTTCCGGCGAAGATGGCGGCTTAATCTGCAATTTCAAACAAACCCCATTTCTTCAAATTATCAAATTACACAGACAAACATCTCTATTTATCAAATTATCAGTAACTAATCAGATTTAACACCAATTAACAAACGGACATTGAAAGACAAAAATCTGACCTTACCGCTGACGACGTCGTATGAGAACTTAAGCAGCGCCTCGAGTGTGTTCTCAATCTGCAACCTGAGGAAAGAGTTGGGGGCAAGCTTAGGATTACGGAGCCAGTAATGGCCGACCATGCGGCCCTCATCGGGATTAGCAATCGCGCCTTTCTCCAGCTCCTCCATAGCCTTGAACGCCGCCTGGAACCGGGGCTCCATTTCGGAAACGAACTCGTCGGTGAACCCGACCCGACTCACATCCAGAAACAACCCGAGCTCCTTGTGCTGGTACAACCAGTCAACGTACCTCCGCCACAGTGCATGCGGGTCCTTCACCAGCTCCTTCTTCTTACTCGGAGCCCCATCGGTCTTCGCTAACTCCGCCGAGACATCCCTGGCCACGGATAGAGCAAAGCCCCGATCCGCCGATTTGACCCGAGCCGGAAACGCAACCGAAACCGATACGAAGTCCTTCCGCAGCGAACTCGCCGGTTTCAGCTGGCGCTTGATCGTCGGAGAAGCAGAGTAAATGCCGGAGATTGAAGCCATTGGAATCGCCGATTGAGGAATTTTCAAGGATTTTGTTGCTCTCACACACCGTCACACCATGGATGCGTGCCTGGGAGTTGGAGTTGGGAAATGCGTATGGCTTTTGGCTTTTGTATCTCTCTCTCTATTTTTGGTATGGGCGGCCGGCATTTCACATGGTTCACACATTGATTGGTTGGTAGTTTATTATCTCGTTGACGGAATATCCTCCGTTGGTGGTGCAATTACGGGAATGCCCACGAATATTCTTGCGTTTTCTGTCTATCGCGGTCTTCTGTGTGCCTCGTCATTAGCCGGCGCACGGATTTGGCTACCCGATGTCTTGAAAGGTCAATTTGGTCAAAAGCCATCGACCGGCGTTATTGCCGTGATTATTGGCTTTTGATTTCCGAGTTGTTGAACCTCAATTATTTTGGTCCTTTCCATTAACAAGAATAATGATAAAAATATTTTCAATTTTGTCAAATTATTTTGATCTATTGTTTATTAAATGAAGAGTATTTGTTGTCATGTCAGTTCTTATTTAACAAAATTTTTTACAAAAATACCAAAATGATTAAATACAAACTCAAAGATTATTTCTATTGATTTCAAATTTCAATAACCAAAGTGAGGAGTTATGCAATCTCATGGACCATTTTGGTTAAAAACCTAATTATTTAATTCCCACATGATATCAACCAAGATTCACACCATTTTTTTTTTGGCCGACTTGTACTTATGTGTTATGGCTTAAAATTTGCAAGTTAACAAATTAAAATATTAAACTCTTGACTGGTTTGGAATATGGGTTAAAATGAAATAAACACAAAGATTTAAGTAGTTCACCCTTTAAAAGTGGATTACATCCAATGTGTTGCTCAAATTCTATTGATTGCATGACTAAAAATAGTGCTTTGCTAATGCATCAATTATCTCTCCTCAGTTGTCCCACCTCCATACATAAGGCTCTCATCCCTTTATATGGGCCTCAATGAACCCCTTAGTTGTGGGTTTTCTTCACCTAACATTTAATGTACCACCAATATAGACTAGCACACTAACACATTTTCACTTATCAACCAGATATTTGGCAGTAACGTGACTTGTGTTCAACTAAAATGACACGTTCTATTAGAATGATGTGGGGCGAGCCACAATTTGAATGCAGACTAGTTGCTAACGTCAGCTAGCTGTCATATTTGAATTTTTTTTTAAACGCTTTTTCTTTTTTTTTACAATTTTTTTTTAATTTTAAAATTCTTTCTTTTTTTATCGTCATCGGACTCTCCATCAATATACTCATCTCACTCATCCTCCACAATCATGTTGTGTAATATGATGCAAGACATCATGATGGAGTCCAAATTTTCTCGACTCCACCCTCTTGCAGGTTCCTTGATGATCTTCCACCGTGCTTGTAGAATACCGAAAGCTCTCTCAACATCTTTTGGTATGCCTCTTGTTGTAAGGTAAACCATTTTTTGGCGTCATTCATAGGGTTTGGAATTGAGGGGTGGAGCCATGGAGGGGGTGGAGGGGTGTCAGGTGCGGAAGATGAAGGGGGGGTTCTGGGGTTTTTTTTTTTTTAAAAAAAACTTTTCTTTAATTAATTATTTTAATATTTTAAATTTTTTTATTAAGTGTTTAGCCACATGGTATAAATGTGGTAGTCACGTCAGCACAAATGAGGATCTCATATTTGCCACGTCATCACTTAATGGTTAACTTAACAGATTTTTTAACGGTTGTATGAAATTGAAATAAAATAGTACGTGAGGTATGAAAGTGAAATGTTTTAAAAATATTGTAAGAAATTGAAATCAACCTTAAATCTAAGGGTGTAAAATGTAATTTGCCCTAACATGTCACATCCTTGCCTGAGCCCCCACCACATTCCAGACTCGACTCCACTGTAGCACGATATTGTCCAATTTGGGCTCCGACCACGCCCTCACGGTTTTGTTTCTGGGAACTCACACGAGAACTTCCCAGTGGGTCACCCATCCTGGGATTGCTCTCGTGCGAACTCACTTATCTTCGGAGTTCCGATGGAATCCGAAGCCAGTGAGCTCCCAATATGCCTTGTGCTAGGTAGAGATGAGAATATACATATAAGGCTTATATGATCCACTCCCCTGAGCGATGTGGGATGTAACATAACATTAAACAACATTAAAAAAAAACATTTAACAACGTAAAACTTAAATGCTTACTCCATGCTTCTTTTGGCCCAAAGATGTGCAACAAGATCCTGTTGTAAGTACTTGTTTGTGGCGCGGGAATGTATCATCTTATAGCGCCTCATGTACTCATTTAAAAAGTTACTACCAGTTCTTGCATTCAAAGGTAAATTAGGATCATCATATATTTTTGCACGAGCTCTTATTGACCTATTTGGATCTTCTTGGTCGTCATCAGTCTCTCCATCAATATACTCATCTCGCTCATCCTCCACAATCATGTTGTGTAATATGATGCAAGACATCATGATGGAGTCCAAATTTTCTTGACTCCACCCTCTTGCAGGTTCCTTGATGATCTTCCACCGTGCTTGTAGAATACCAAAGCTCTCTCAACATCTTTCCGGTATGCCTCTTGTTGTAAGGTAAACCACTTTTCGACGTCATTCATAGGGTTTGGAATTGCTTGGATAAGTGTTGCCCACTTTGGGTAGATGCCATCTGTCAAGTAATACCTCATCTGCTAAGGAATTGCTTTGCCAATTTTTTTTTTTTTTAAATATTAAAAAGTTCTCATTTTGTTCCTATAAATTTAAGTTGTAGTTTTTAAATTTAATTTGTAATTTTTAAATTTAAGTTGTAGTTTTTAAATATAAGTTGTAGGTTTTAAATTTAAACTGTTGTAATTTTTATATTTAAATAATAAATTATGTTTGACCCTATGATCCTTTGGCCCTCGGTTGGAGATTATTTTTTGTCACAAGGCTATGTTTGGCCCTATGACCATTTGACCCTCGGTTAGAGATAGTAAGAAATATGACCCTGCACTGTTCATTAAAATATTAATTTCTTAAATGGCTAGATGGCTAAAACGAGCCATCTGGCTCTCTTTCGATTGGAGATGGCCTAAAAGAAATTTTGGTGTTGCTCTCTCATTGGCAGTATTCCTCAAAAGTTTAAATAAAATGTTGCCTAATTTAAAATAAAATTAGATATTTTCTTTTCCATCTTCGTGGAATGAGTGTTTTCCTCCAAATATTTTTGGTTCTAAGTTTGACAAGAAACATGGACAAACAAAGGAAAATAGTTATGTCAAAAAAAAAAAAAAAATATATATATATATATATATTACTTTGAAGATATTTCTCAATGAGTAGAAAAAAATCCACATTTAGCTTTTCCTGGTTCTAAAATTAGAAATTTACAACCCAACAAAAAAAGTCAATTTATCTTTCAATTAGATATTATGAACACCCAAAATAGTGTTAAAAGGTTTTTTTGTCGAACGAAGTCAAAGTAAGGATCCTAGTAGTTGTAATTCGATTCTCATTTTTGTGTTTGGTCAAATACTGGCGAAAAACAATTGTGTATATGTATGGTAGTGTGAATTCGATTTTCACCGATTGTTTAATCACTAACGTCGTCGTTTATAAAAAAATATTTTTACAATTTTTTATGTTTTTGGTTTTCATATATAAAATTAAAAATAAAAATAAAAACAAGGAAATGGATGAGATAGAGTAAAAGCAATCGCACCCCCACAGAGTTCCTACCATTATTCTCCCCCATTTCTCCCGTCTCCCAAAATCCCAACCCAAATCTCTCCCTCTCTCTATCTAGCTTTCTCTGTGATATTTCTCATTTCACCGACGCCGACAACACAAGCATGATGTGGGACGAGTGGGGCGACACCATTTTCTCCGACACCGACCAACAACAACAGCAACAACAATCCGACCAGGATTCCCACCTCAATTTCGATTTCTTCTCCGACCTCTCCAAGCCCAAGGTCTTGTTCTTTCGCCCGCACAATTAGGGTTTTTAATCATTTGTTTTCCATCTTTTTAGCCGTTAGTTTACTCAATTACATGAGTTTTGTGTATTTAGGATTACTATAAGATACTGGAAGTGGATTATGATGCCAACGACGATGCTATTCGCTCCAACTACATCCGCCTCGCCTTGGTTTGTAATTTTCGATTTTTTTACACATTTTTTAGTTTTTTTTTAACATTTTAATTTTCGGGTTCGTTTGTTGCTTACTGAACTGCTTTAAATTTTGCTTCTTTGTGATTTGTTGGTGCAGAAATGGCATCCGGATAAGCACAAGGACCAGGATAGTGCCACCTCTAGGTTTCAAGAGATAAACGAGGCCTATCAAGGTGCCTTTTTACGTTCTTGCCCAATATGCATTTTGCTTATACTTTCGAGCTAGCGTTGGTTGCTTAGAGTTTTCGGACTCCCAGGAACAATGGGTTTGTTGCAAGAATTTGAGCTATTACTAAGAGCACCCAATTTGATGTGGGTAATTTGTGTGTACTTTAGGACCGTGTGTGCCCAATGGCACTCTAGTTTGATAATCAGACACTTCGTTATTAGATATGGCTATGTGGGGTTAAATAGTTTTTGCTAGCAAGTGTGGGCAGTGTTCTTGGTTTAGTATTTTTAAAGGACTGTGTTGGCGAAGAGGTTTGTGGAGTATAAGAATCTCTTGTTGCTGAATTGCTACAGCTACCTAACAATCGAACATTTAGGTAGCTGTTACTGGCCTATTCTTAATTTCTTATATCCGTTTAGTCGAAGACGTTGGTGTGTGATCAATTATCCATGGCTCACCAAACCGACAGAGGCTGTATGAAAGTAGTTTTTGAGCCCCTTGGTGATATAGTTCAAAACATGTATCAGGGAGCACTTTTTTGGGAAAATAATGACTTGGTGCATGATTGTTTTATTATCGAGTACAGGAGTATAGCTAGAGTTTTTAGAAAGGTGAAGGAGTATGAAATTGGTATTGGGCATTGAAATTACTGGCTCCTTAGATTACTTCAAAATTAGAAATGACTCCGGAATGGCAAACCATCAAGCTCAATATATGGGAAAACCTGGATAGGCTTGCGAAGTAATACAGCAGGGACAGCAAATTTTTGCAAAGACGATTTTTCCAACTTGTTCTTCTTTGTTAATGGGAATCGTTTTATAAGTCATGCGTCTCTCATGGCCAATAATGTTCATCCATTTAATTTCCCAACATGACGAAAAGGTATCTGCAAAATATTATATAGATATAAGTTTTCTGTTAGCTATGGGTTTGCTAACCTTCGGGAGGCATGCTTCACAAAGGTAACATATAGACTATGCTGCTTGATTATAGGCTATATGTGTTTCCTTAAATCCTCTGATTTGTATTGACATATTCAGATTTGAGCTACTTATTTCGATTTTTGTTGGTTTCCTAAAAGATTAGATGGGACTTGGGAGGATGCATATAGGTTGGCTTTCTGCACCCATAATTTGTGCCTGTCGTACATTAAATTAACCTGATTTCAGAACAAGCATGATTGAGGCAGTAGTCATTTGGATTAGTTCCTCCTACTTAAATGCAGCCTTGGAGTGTTATTTCCGACAAAACGAATATGTGCATGCATTACGTATGTTATTGGCCTTAGAAAACTTTAGACATATATCCATTTTGATAGTCTAGTTTAAATGGTAACCCAGTAATTTGAATGTTGTTGCTTTATTCTAACTAATGCATGAAGTGTGAGTGCTAAGAAAAGCCAAAAGGTGTCTCTGTGGCTGGCACTTAGAAGACTTGTGTTAATTGGCTGATTTTCTTCTAGGCATGACTGAGGACTGTATTTCGGTTTTGTTTTTTAATCTAACGAAGGTGTTTCAATTTCGTTGAACAGTTTTGAGTGATCCAGTGAAGAGAGTAGAATATGACAAGAAAGGGATGCTTTATGTCTACGACTATAATATAACTGTAAGAATTCCCTCGTTTGTACCATCAAGATACGTTTCTTTTTCCTGCATCTACAGTTTCCTTCCGTGGTTTTCTTCCTTCTAACGTATAGTTTGTTGACTGCAGGAGTATCTAAACCGCTACAAGGGTCTTATATTGACGTGCAGTGGCCTGGGGATGAGGACTTCAATTTGGTAAGACAAAACAACCTGCACAGAAATCCTTTTCGTTAAAGTCGGGAAAATCTTTACAACGTGCAAGGCACATATTTGCTGACACTTCAAGTGGCATAGTAAGGGAAAACAATGATCTGTGTCCTTGGTTCTATTTGGAGGTTACTATTATCATGTGCACGTGTATAAAATAGAGGAACAAAGGATATCACTTTCTGTCGTGATGTCTTTTGCCTACCTGCCCATGTTAGATGTCACCTCTTTCTTGTAGAGTTGTATTTGTATAATAATCTACTTGCCCCCAATGCCTATCCAATAATTATGGAATCATTCGATGCTCGACCCGGGACAAACCCTTTTTGTTTGTTTTGGGAACTGATAATGTACGTGGGTGACATTTGAGAGCACATTGAAGCTTGTTACTGCTTTTTTTATGGTTCTTGTGGTTTTGCTTTTTGATCCGTTAGAATTCTTATTCCGTTGGAAATCTGTGTGTTCTAGTTTTGGTGGATGCCGTGCTAGGACAGTCGCTCCAACTCATGCTTGAGCGGCCCTTTTTATTTGGTGAACGAGTGGCCTTTAATCCTTATGTGTTTTGGTGGTATCTACTTGCATCAACGGTTGATAGTCTTTCATGCACATGTGGGAATGTTAGGACCCAATTGCCCCATGTTGAAATTAAAATAGCATGTCTTGGCGTGGTTTGTGACGAGTTCTCGGTAATATCATAACAGTTGATATCAAAGCCTGATTGTACCACGTAACTAGGCCTAGTCTTGAAGAGATACTCTCATGCAACTACTTACGTCGCATGAAAAACTTTTATTGGATAGTTTGGGTAATATTTAAACCCATGACAAACATTTAATAGATGAGTGACATCATTGAGATTATGCATTGGTTGCAAAAGACAATCTCTCCTAATCTTCACGAAGCTGTTTCGAAGGAAAGATTTACCATCGAGCTAGTGTTAATGTGGACATAACGAACCAACAAGGATGCAGTAGGAAGCGTGATGGTATGTTAGAATCCAACAGTCGCAGAACGAAAAACTAAATTTCTTGGACGGTTCGTATCCTTTTTGTATACAAGCCGAAGCCGGTTTTTATAGGCAAGTTCTACCTACAGGTTCTATTGGGCATAGCTGCACAGACCTTGTTCAATTAGTGCTTGAAACCAGAAGATGACCGGAAGCTCTCGAAACCCTAGCATGCCTTGCAAGTAGAGGTGGCTAATGATTCAACTGTACAGAAAACAATGTGTCATAACTGAGATGCTTCCTTGCAAGTAGAGGTGCCCTAGAACGAGACCGGCTGTGCACGGTACTGCAAAATTTTCTAATTCTCCACCTTGTTTAAATACTACAACATCAAGCTACATTGGACCTTACTAACCTGGTTTCAAACCCTTTGATTTATAAGCTTTCCTCCGGCATAATGTTAATGAAGTTCATCAGCATTGCAGAACAAAGATCCAGTGCCATTATCTTTCAAATTCCACTTTCACGTTAAGGGTTGAGCTTTCCCTACCTCATAGTATCATGAAAGTCGAAAGATGATCCATTTCCTCTTGCCAGAAAGACGACCTAGACTGCAACTGCAAATCAGATCAGAAGGTTTTCTTAATCCCATTACTCTATGTTGAATTGCCAGCATCTTCATCACCTTGGGGTTTTCAAGCCTAGGATGTAACTTTTCTCTTGCATCTGAAATCCGTCTCAGGGCTTAATCCTGCTCTCCAACAACCAACTCATCGAGAAGTTCAAATGCAGACAGAAGCTTTCTTTCTCTGCAGATTGATTCAACCAAAACAGCCCAGGAATCAGGCAGTGGCTTAAACCCCATCTCCATTAATCCAAACAAAGCCATGGACGCCTCTTCTGCCATTCCAGCCTCAGAAATGCGAACCAGCAACTCATTTGAAGTTGCATAATGTGGTATGAACCCCCTACCCATCATTAACCCCAACAACGCAGTCGCCTTCTTCAATTCACCTTTTTGACACAAGAGATTCAACACAATCCTGTAGCTTGCCTTGTTGAGATAGACACCCTCGTAAGGAAGTTTCTCCAGCATCTCAAGAGCATCCTCAATTCTGCCTTCTCTGCACAACCCTCCAAGTATCACATTGAAAGTCACAGTATCAGCTTTGCACTCTCTCTCTTTCATCTCTTTGAGCAACTCTATAGCTTCATTCACTTTCCCAGTCCTACAGCAGCAATTAATCAAACCAGTGTATCCAACCGTATCAGGCTTTATACCGAAGCTCATCATTTCATGGAAAACTTCCCTGGCCTCCTTCAATCTCTTCTCTTTACATAAACCATTCATCAGAGTGGTATAATTGAATACATTTGGGTTGCATCCATTGCTCTTCATAAACTCCAATATCTTCCTAGCCCTGTCGACTTTGCCACCATGGCAAAACCCATTAATCAAAATGTTGTAAGTTAGGGCATCAGGCAAGATTTGGTCCTTTGAGATCATTTCTTCAAACAACTCCATTGCTTCTGCGAGTCTTCCACTTTCACAGAGACCACCCAAGAGAGTTGAATATGTAATCAAATTAGGGTAAGAAATTTTGGACCTTTTCATTTCCTTCAGAACCTCAAAAGCAGAATCAAGATCCCCATTCTTGCAATGGTGCTTAACCAAGATGTTGACAATGCATGTATTTGGCTTGAAGCTAAAGTTCTTTTTCAAATGCGTGAGAAATTGTCGGGCCAAATCAACCTGATTTGCTTCAATCAGTAAATTGAGACAAGTACTGATGGATTTGAGAGACGGTTTTTCTCGAACTATTGGCTGGATAGCATAGAACATTTCAAGCACTCTTTCATGCATAGAGGATTTTGAAAAATGGCTCATGAGATTAAGGAATATACCCTCATGAAATTTGCAGGTCTCATAGGTCATTTGATGAAGAATTGCATCGATAGCCTTGAACTTCTTGGACTGAGCAAGCTTCTGGAGGATGGTTCCATAGGTGGCATTGTTGTGATTAAAACCCTTTTGTTCAGATACCATGTTAAATATTTCCAAGGCATGCTGTGGATCTCTCCCACGTTTGATTAAGTTGATGGCAGATTCGTGAGAAATATATTTGCCTTTCCTCCTCGTTTCTGTCTGGGTGCCTGTGGTTTCGGGTGGGGGGTCTGGTTTGTGAAGTTTAACTCTTGAAAAGTGAAGAGGAGAGATCCATGGAAGTGACGATGAGAGTGTCGAAGGAGAGGATGAGAACCAACGGCACTGACTTTTATTCACTCTCATAGCATTCATGAAAACTGCTGCTGTCTTGTTAGGGCCCGGTCATCTGAAGAATATGAGGATCTTAAATACTTATGCATGTCAGCTGTTTTAAAGAAAAAGTGTAAAGCCATTGCTAAAAACTGAAAACAACTTGGTACAGGATGTGGCAACGTTAACAATAACGTGATGACAAAACTATATAAAACAGGATTCATCTTAAGGAATTGCAAATTGAGCAAAAAAAACGAGATTATGTTTTTGTAAAACATGCATAAAATTCCATTTTAAATTTCTAATCAAAATTAATTTCAAACAATAATATAAACAGACACACGGCACATGTAACGAGCTGATGAGGAGACTCTTTGGAATCATATTGGCTAATCTAGGAAGGATGTCTTTAGACACAGAAGGCATCAACCAAAAGAGAACAGAAAGCAAGCAGATTCGGAAATCAAGCATCTTTCTGCCTTGATATCCAATGTAAATGAACTTACTCTTGTCCCTGTAACACCCTAGCTCTCTAGACAATAGCTATTTCACTTGAATCATCCACCAAACCCACAAAAACAGTTCATTGTGCATCATCTTGGAAACAATTGAACGCCAAATGACAGACTGGAAGGAAAAACAAGTTCTTGAACAGAGTGCACGAGAATTAGGCGTTGCAGGCTCTCAATCCTCAATCAGTAACACGAATTATGCCGCAAGCCAGTGCATCTACTGAATTGGGTTTTTAGCAATCAAGTAGGTGCACCTGCTTGTGATATGTATTAAATTTCTATATAATTCCTCTTACAAATTGAGGATTGAGAGGCCGTAACGCCTAATTATCACGCAATCTTCTCAAGAAACTTGTTTTTCCATCCAGTTTGTCATTCGACATTCAATTATTTCACAAATGATGAAAAAGTGAAGGGTTTTTGTGGGTTTGGGAAACCTTAAATCTGAACTTGAATCCACTAACCTACTCTCTGAAAAATCAACCAACCACATTCCCCATAAATTCAAAATTCAAATACTCAAATGGACTGATTAATGGGCAGAAAATGTTCCAAATTTCAATTCCGTTGTCTTTAATTATTTATTTTTCCTTCAAAATTCCTTGCAAATCAACGGAAATTCGTACAAACAAATAAAAAAATTGGATTAAAAACACAATTGCAAATTTGCAATGCCTGGAAAGACTTACCTGGAGGATTAATGTGAAAAGCCAACACTTTCTGTAACCAAAATCTAGCTGTTAACTTGAGTTGCAGGGCGGAGGTGAAGGGCAGCTTCCGCTCTCAAGGAAGAAGGCGCACCAAATCAAAAACGCCACGTCGTGTCTGTGGGGTTTCTATTTCTTCGTTTATGTGTGTGATTTCGGCCCAAGAAAAAGCCCAAACTTGCATACGCCCATCTTTCTTTCTTATTTTTAAGGAAAATTCTTCAATCCAATGCCCTTTGAGCCCTTTGGTGATTTAAAATGAGGAAAACTAATGAAAATGACATGAGGTTTTGAGTTTTAACAATAAAGATAAAATAAATAGTACCAAGATTGATTTTTTAGTGTAAAAATGTGGTTTTTCGTTAAAGTGAACAATATCGGGAGCTTTTCGTTAAAGTTGTCTTTAAAATGTGTCAATTTGCCACTTAGAACCACAATCTAGTAGTATTCCTCTTCACTTGTAAGTAAAATATTTTAGATTCAATTTTCGCCAAAGGTGATTTTTAGCGAGTTTAAACAACATTATTGCTAGTCTATTGTGATGTTAAGTCCACCCACTCTCCTTTAGTGTATATAATATTGTTTGTTAAAAAAAAAATATCTCAATTTGCCTTAGACCGTCTATTTGTTAATATTTCCGTCAAATTAAGGGTAATCTTTGATTCTTTCAAGTGAAAAGCAACCTAATAAAAAAAAGTGTCAAATTTGATGGAAAAATTAAAGGAAAACTAATGAAAAGGGTTTTAAAACTTTAACTTTTAACGATAAAGACAAAATTAAGGATAAATTAAATAATACCATGATTGATTTTTTAGTGTAAAAATGTAATTTTTCGTTAAAATGAACAGTACCTGAAGTTTTTCGTTAAAGTTCTCAAAAATTAACTGGCCGGCAGTTTAAAGTAAATTTACATATTTTAAAAGAAAACTCATAACTAATTGCACATAACTCATAAAAAAAAAATGAAAATCGAAAGTATTGATAAGTCTCTCCCCTTTAGAAACTCTATACACAAACATTTGATCCGCCACCTAACATGAAAATAAAATCTTAAAATTTCCATTCTTTATATCATTGAGTGCACTGATTAAAGGATAAAATAAAATAATTTGTTTATGAAAATAGCCATGATTGAGATGGAGACATCATGCTTTCATCTAAAAGTTTTGCCATATTAGATGGTCATCTACGAGATTCAAATTGAATAGCTCTTATTTTTTTTAACAAACGATATTATTTACACTAAGGTAATATAATGTTTTCGATAATAATCGAATATAAGATCTTTCACTTCTAAGTAAAGAAGAATATTACTAAATTAGTGACCGTCCATCTTTCAAGGTTTATTGTAAGCTATTGATGTGCACAGTAATCCCAATTTTTTCTTGGAGAACTGTAGTCTTAACTATGAAGAACAAATTTATTTGGATTGACCAAAATGTTCTAATAAAAAAAAAATTAGAAAACAATAAATTTAAAAATGAATTATTTGAAATTGTTTTCCTTCTTTCATTCTTATCCAATTCTTGGAATAATAGACAACTTTGCCTTATAAACGTCATCGAAATTCCTAGATTCGGGAAGCACTCCATCCAAATATTACTATGTTATTCCGCTCAAGTGTTTGTGATACTCGTATTATTAGTAACAAATTATAGTTCTTTAAAATTAATTTTGAGACGTCCCCTGTTACACATAAATATATCCGAATAAACGTTTTTGATGATTTACCACACATCCAATTTTCACTTTTAATGTGAATGGACCACTTTTATCTCTATCTTAAAAATTTCGCCTAAACAACAACACGCGAATACACAAAAGGACAATTTTCGGCACAACATTAACAACAAAATTGCGGGGGCTCTATTTAGCTTACGTTGCATGAGTTAGGGTAAACGGTAAACCCAATTTTTACCCCAAGTTATTTAGAGCATTTCCATCCATCCAAAAAAGGCAAAGGGCAAGGGCAATTGAATTGCCCAAAATCCGCCAAAGTGGCCCCAGCGGCTCATAACACGGCAGGCAATTGCTGGGGTCTACCAAGACGTTAGGTTATCTTTAACCGAAAGAGGATCAAAAGATTGTTTTAACCCGCTGATCTTGTAAGATATTTTATATTTTAATAAATCATACACTAAAGTGGCCCCAAATCTTAAAAAGGCAAGGCTAGGGCAAGGACAATTGTATTGCCCAAAATCCACCAAAGTGGCCCTAGCGGCTCAAAACATGGTAGGCAATTGCTGGGCTCTACCAAGCCTGTTGGAATGCCTGGCCTTCAGTTGTCAGGACTTGCGCCAGCAAGCATTAGACGACATCAGCGTGATGTCAAAAGTGAGTCGACGGGTCCTGCGACCACAAGGTAAGACATAGTCCAACGACTTTCCAACGAGTTGAGGATTTGAACAGTTGGATTTTCAACCGTAAAAAAAATTGAAAATTTGATTATTGTGTTACGTGGCGCAATCCGATGCTCCTGATTTCTAATGAATATAGAAATCAACGACCATGATTAATCCAACGAGTGGTATTGCTCCTATGGGTTTTGAAAATGAAAAGAGAAAAATTAGTAAGTAAATGAACTTGACGAAATATATAACGCAAATTCACTGATGTAGCTCAACTTAAAAAAATATAAAAATAAAATGGAGTTGGATGATAGATTGTCAAAAATCTTCTTGGGGTGGTATTTGTGTTAGTTGGTGTAAACTAGGTTTTCATCTGTCTATTTTCTCCTTATAAAATGTCCAAGCTCTAACCTTAAACTAGGTTTCGATCTTTTGTTTTCCATTTCTCTTAAAATTGAACTAATTACTAACATTACGTGGTAATTATCAATTGGACCGTTTGTTAATCATATATCACAACGATAATACTCTTAAATTTTTCTTGTGAACAACCATTAAGATTACTTGAACGCTATATTAGTTGCAAGAGAATTTCTCGCACCGGCCAAACTCTATAAACTTTGTTATCTTTTGTTTTGTCATGCCACCTACTTCATACCTATTTAGTCTCAAGTCACTAAAGTTCCAACAAATGTCCAACAAATTTCCAAAGCGTGACAAAGCAGATAGTTAATGGCAGGCATTGACGGCATAGAGAAAAAGGCAAAACGACATTGTTCCCAACGATAACCTAAAATTAAAAAAAATAAAAAAATAAAAAAATAAAAAGTTAATTTAGGAAAGTGAAAAATTAAAAAATTTGATAAGGACGCAAATTATGGTTTTTTAATAAACAAAAAAATGAGATATTAGATTCGGTGCTCTGAGTTGGTGAGTTTAATTGACCGTGGTCACAAGTAGGGTAAAATCATAACCTATCCAGAGTTCAGACTCAAAAGGAATGAATATCGGTAGTTTACCGTCATGTATTTAAAAAAAAAAAAAAAACTTAAAAAAAAATTGAAAAATGATGACTGGCATTTCCATTTCCGTAATAACCACCTTGAGCTTATCTGTAACTTTGTGCCAGCACCAACTCTCGAATCCCTTTGGGGCCCCCTTCCGCTTCTTTTAATCCCCGCCTTCTCCCCCTTTCTTTCTCTCAGACATTTTCACAAACACCTCACGCGCAATCGCCGAGCTCGTCTTCCAACACCCGTTCCGATGGCTTCCGTTGTCCCCGATAACCTCACCAGGGAGCAGTACGTGTACCTGGCGAAGCTCTCCGAGCAAGCGGAGCGCTATGAGGAGATGGTCCAGTTCATGGAGAAGCTGGTCGTTGGTTCGACTCCGGCCGCCGAGCTGACCGTCGAGGAGCGCAACCTTCTCTCCGTCGCGTACAAGAACGTGATCGGCTCGCTCCGTGCCGCCTGGCGCATCGTGTCGTCGATCGAGCAGAAGGAGGAGGGCCGGAAGAACGAGGAACACGTGGCGCTCGTCAAGGAATACAGATCCAAGGTCGAGTCCGAGCTCTCTGATGTCTGCGCTAGCATATTGAAGCTCTTGGACTCCAATCTCGTGCCGTCGGCGTCGGCCAGTGAGTCCAAGGTCTTCTATCTGAAGATGAAGGGCGACTACCACCGCTACATGGCGGAGTTCAAGTCCGCCGAGGAGAGAAAGACTGCTGCTGAGGACACCATGCTTGCTTACAAGGCTGCCCAGGTAACGTCGTCGTCTCGATTGTCATAAAGTTTTGACCTTTTGAACATCTGGGTATTTACAATTTGAGGGTTTTGAGGCTCTCAGTCAGCGTTGACATTTTTAATTATTTACGTAATTTTTTAATTTCTGGGTTTGCTACTGAAATTAAAGAGAAAAAAAAAAAACCCCAAAATGTGAATTATGTTAATTTTCTATCTTTTGAGGAGATTGGTAATTGGAATTGGTTAGATTTTGAAAGATAAAATTTTGAGGTTTAATTTGGTGTGTGAAGGACATAGCGCTTGCGGATCTGTCACCAACTCACCCAATAAGATTGGGTCTGGCACTGAATTTCTCAGTGTTCTACTATGAGATTCTCAATCAGTCTGATAAAGCTTGCAGCATGGCCAAACAGGTAACTTTCCTATCTCACTATAATCTTGTTAGAATCTTGGAAGTGCTTCTGGGAAAGCCATAATCACTTCTGAGGTATGTGCTTCTCTCTTAAACCATAATTGAGTTATGTAGAAGCACGTTGGAGGTGTTTCTCCATCTCTTGAATGATTTGGTAAGTGATTTTATGGGTGTGCTTCTCCGCGAAAAGTGATTCTGGCCTTCCCAGAACGACTCCCAAACGGGCCCATTACGATTTTGCGATGTTGCTTTTCTTTCTTTCTTTGTACTATTTTAGTGAATTTCGTTAGGATGTGTTACAGTGTTGTCTCGCTGCGTAAGTGTTTTATATGATATCAACTTTGTTATTTAATATTTACTTAAGCAAAGCTTGTATGAATTAGTTTCTGTATGTTCTATTTATAGGCACCAAATCTGAATAATTCACGATATGAAATGGGTTTAGGTTGTTTACTTTGTGGGGAGAGGACTTTAAAATCTCTCATAAAAGTTTTGGTGATACTTAACATAGTTGCTCTTTGATATTTTGTGTGTGCTAGTTGTTATTTCCATGCTTGCTGTACGGAAAGTTAGATGAATTATTGAGGTGATCATTGTTTATTATTAAAAGAACTTATCCCCATGTGTTTGGCAGTGGGCAGTGTCTTGAAAATCTTGTTGGATTGGTGCTATTTTATACGTGTCTGTCGAGTTGTTTTGTCAAATTGCAAATTTGTTATATCCTTTGATGAAACTTGAATGGTTTGCTTCATATTAGTTTTTTTTTTTTTTTTTTTTTTTTTGTTGGTAATCCATTGGGGAATCAAACTTGGGACCTCTTCCAACGTTGGGAAGAGAGGTAAGACTAAACCAAGAGCTAGTTGGTAGATTACTTAAATTTTATATTGTATCGCCTGCATACCAATCCGTTTCATTACCCAACTTTCAGCAGATGATGAAATGAAACATTTTCTGTAAGACATGCCACGGTAAGTCACGATGGAAAATACATGCTTGCTTCCTGACATTCATGCATTTAAAAAGCTTGAAGATTAAAACTTCGTCTTGCTAAGTTTTTGTGTACTTGAGATGTGTGGTTGTAGCTGTGTGCCTTCCTTTTGAAGTGGTCTATTTATCTTCTAAGATGCTTTGTATTGTGAATAATTAGGCATTTGAGGAAGCTATTGCTGAGCTAGACACTCTGGGAGAAGAATCATACAAGGACAGCACTCTAATCATGCAACTTCTAAGGGACAACCTCACTCTTTGGACTTCTGATGCTTCGGTTAGCCCCGCCTTCACTCCTCTCTCTCCCCCTCTCAAGATTGATGATGATCTGTTTTATATGTTATTTTATATGTTGTGTTTATGCAGGACCAGTTGGACGAGCCATAGAGGGCAGCGAAAGGCGGAAAGGCCACATTCGTCCTCTGGAGGAGCCTCCACATTCATCCTCTGGAGGAGCGCCGGTGGGCATTGAATGCCGTTTTCCTGTGCTGATTGGAAGAAAGTGTGTTAATTTGTACATTGTTCCGCAACGTTGATACTGAACTTGTTTTCAAATTTGTCTTTTAAGTGATTTGTGATGGATAGAATTTGATGTTGACAGCAACCAGCTTTTTTTAATCTAAGTTTGGATTACGGGGTGAGATAATCAAGGATGACAAGATAGAAAATTTTATTTTCATTGGATTAATCGATATTTTGATAGACCATCGGATACCTCGATACCTCGTTACATGGATTAGTAACTTTTCTTGCATTAGGAAAAGTAACGTGGACGGTTTTTTAACCATTTTGTTTTAAGTTTTCACCAAAATGTTGTTTGGTAAGTTGGTAACTGATTTCAATTTTCGATTTTCAGAAAGATGAAACTGTTTTCAAAATCGATTTCAGTTTTCGCTTTCGTTTTCACACCCTTTTTATCATTCACCAATTCCATGTCACAAAACAGGCATCGCACCCATCTCAAAATTCAATATCTAAAACCCTTTGACTTAGATTAGGCCGCTCGACTCTTGTTGGTTCTTTCTAAAAAAGACGATGAGGAGACGCACAATGCCATGGAGGGGTACATTTAACTGATATAAAGTCCATATATCATCTTAGAAAAACCGACAGGAAACCCGACAGCGATAAGTAATTCCTGGTTTCAACTGTACCACTATGAAAACATCATGCAGCTTGTTTTATTTGCACACATACTTACACATAGATAAACACCATTCGAACCATCTGCTTGCCTCCTTCAAGAAACACTCCAACGGTTCTATGTACTCGATCCGTTATAAGAAGCTTTGAGTCAGTCCCTTGTGCTGTTTTTGATCCATTCTAGGTACGGGAGACTGCCTGCGTTGATAGGTAAGGCAATAACTTCCGGAACACTGATAAACGAGAAAACAAGAAAAGAGAGAGAGGTCAGTCTTAGCAGAGGGGGATTACAGGGTGCAGAAACATTCTGAATCTACAAGGTAGGATTTGTGGCAACGGTTCTGGCTGAAGGGACTAGGCATAGGGTCTGGTCTATAAGTTACGTAGAGCATTGTGGCTGCCACAATCTTCCAATTATTTGGAATTTTCAGCTTGCAACTAAGTTATAACAATTATAAGAAATTTATTCTGCAGAAGCTTTGAGCTTACTCGTATGGATGGTTTGCCTTGACATGCGCGGTCAAAGCTTCAAAAAGGGATTGCCTTGTCTTGATTATAAGAAGTTCTTCAGAATCTGTCTGGACCTATCCATGAAAAAGAAAAGGTGAAATAAGTACACACATATTTTCCATATCTCGTGCTTTACTTATGAAACTGTACAAATTTCAAAGCAACAAATAGCTTGTGAACAATCCAAATTGGAAGGGTTATTAAGGGTATCTCTGCACCCTTCTCTATGATCTGTACCTCTCCTTTCCACTCATAGATGGACTCAATGCCTGCATTCACAATATTCAACATGAATCAGACAAGAAATACGAGCTTGATGCAAGTTGTATGCAAGAATGTTAATGAAAAAATTCATAAGTTCAGTTGTCAATTCAAAGATTACAATGCAAATGTCAATATCAATAGAAGGGAGGACACGAGAATCTTATTTTTAAAGGACACAAATAACAGTTCAAGTAGATAGCACGCATGTTAACAAGTACATAGCTTGGCCAATCCAAGCAAACATCGATGTTCCTTCCATACTAAGCAATTAACCAAGGCAATCAAAACTTAAGTAGTCCGCACATTGTAATCATGATCTAGCAGTAACAAAAAAACCATAGGCGAGAAACAAAAAAGGGTTCCCCGGGGGAGGGGGGTTGATAAATAAGGTACACAATCTAAGTACGAACTAAGTTCCACAACCATGTTTTAGCAGATGGTACAAGAAATAAAATGTTTGGCACTTTGGCTTACTCCAAGTCAGATGGTTGGTGTTGACCCGAAAATTATGATTATTTAGACATATAAAAAAACTAAATTATCAACTTGCAAAATTTGTGTTCAGTCTTTCCATCATTATTTAGCTTTCCCAGAAAAAGAGGTCAGTAATATCATTGGAACAAGCATATGTAAACTTAACAGCCCATGCTCTTTAGAATATATACAGATGAGATGAATTGGTCTGCAACAAAAGCAGTAGGCAAAACAATATACAAGCACAATGTAAGGATTAATATGAAGCACATACCTGGCACTAGGTTAACACAGGCTGCAAGTTTTTCTCTGACTAAGCTTTCAGCCAACTTCTTTCCTGCAGAAACATAGTATGTCATAAAAGATAAAATAAGTAAAGTAGCTTTAGCTTCAGTCTTCCAAACCTTAAACGAAAGCTTGGTAGTTGTGAAATTTTGAAGCTATGAGAAAAGCATGCAACACATAAAATTGAGTAGAGGGCTAACCAAACCTACTGTATGTCTCAAGGAAAAAAATGAGACTGCAGGTGTAACCCATGTGAATTGTTTATTATTGGAGTGTCAACTAAATATATCACAATACTTGGAAGACAAATCAGAATGCTTTCTTCATAAATCCAATTACTGAACCCTTGCTTGTAAGCATTATAACACGTCCGAGTTAAATTCTAGTGACCTAATATTCGCACATTGCAAAGTTAGCAGGATGGTTCAAAACACTGAATCACATTGGTGCATCCAATTTTTATGTGCTTTCCCGTGGAAGATACTGCCATATTTTCCCCTAACTTGCAGATATCCATTCACTAGAAACGCCACGAAAATCGCCTATTTGCCAAAGAACGCTCAAGACAAAGTATCCACGCAGACTACAGTCAAATCATCATAATTTCACACAAAAATTCAACCATATACTCATCATGTTTCTCAATAATTAAGCACCCAATGACGAAAATCATAATCTTTTCGAAAACAAAACAAAACCCATATCAAAAAATGCAAAACAAAGAAAACCCATTAATCATTTTGATCAATAAATACTAACCTACTTCTCTGCTGGGCACAGTCACATAAACAACAATGCTTGGAACAGTAGTATCGCTACTCCCTTCCATTCTCACAGAACCAACGCCTTCTGATTGGCTCCCAAACTTTGATCTATAAACCCACAACACAGTAAACAGTGAAATTAAATAAAAAACCCTTTCGGCATCAGAGACCGAAGGAGAAGAAGGTGGCCGTGGCGTACCTCAAGAGAGGGGCAAAAGGGAGAGACTGAGCGGTGCCCGTTCTGAAGGCGGAGAAGGAGAGAGTGGGAAGGAGGTTGGAGATGCCCAAGGTGAATACGCAGAATGCTCCCACCAGGGGGAGACGGCGTCGAATTGTGGCGGAGGAGGAGATGGTTCGAAGGGCGTCGGCTCTGCAGCAGAGTGTAGAAGCCATTTGTGGAGGAGCAGCTGGCGGGTATGTATACTTTTGTTGGGCGTCATCATTAAGCCTGTTTGGGATTCGTTACTTGATGCTCTAACCCGGGATAACATAATCCCAACAGCCAAGCAATTCTAATTTTCCCTTGAGAGAGGCGGTTATCCTTCTTAGATTTGGGCCACAGGGCCCAATTGTATTTAAACTGGGCCGTAAGGAAACAGATTACATTTGGGCCTAGCATTTTTTTTTTGTCAATTGCGCCTAGCATGTAGAAATTAGGTTTTTTTTTTTTTTAACAAGAATATTATCTACATTAAATTAGAGGAGTGAACTTAGTCTCATAATGGACTATCAATAATGAGATTCAAATTTTGCTTTGACGATAATCGAATTTAAGACTTCTAACTTATAAGTAAAGAGGAATACTACAAGATGATAGTATTTTTTTTTTGAACAAACGGTAGTATGTACACTAAAAGGATGAGAAAGTGGGGTAATCCTTACAATGAACTTACCATAATATTGTGGTTTAATTTCGCGTTTGACGAGAATCAAAACTAAAATCTCTTATTTACAAGTGAATGAAAGGAATACTAGTATTAAGCGGCTTAAATTGGTTTATTTTCTCTCTTCTTGAAATTATACACCAAGGACGAAAAGGAGAAGCGTGGGAAAGGTTCAGACTTCGGTTTTCCATTTGAGAGTTGCAGCTGCGCCGTTTGGGGAGTGCTCTTTATCCTTCTACCCATTTCATACCATTTTCCCTCCGTTTCTCGGCAACCAATTAGGTCTTACAACTATTCACTGGTTAGACTAGCATCTTTTCGGGTCACCTCAGAAGCTCCTATCAGTTTCCAGGTACTTCTTCCCACCTTTGAATCCCTTACCATCTGTTTGGTTACCAAGAAAACTGTCAGAGGCAAAAATATAGATAGAAAATTGGAGCTTTATCTTTGTCTAGGTCTGCAGCAAGTAATAATTTCTGTAAACTTCTCTTCATTTTGAACAGGGGTTTCAAGAATTTTATTGATAAAGGGGAAAATAATACTGTTGGCAATTCCTTGGAAAATTATGAAATGAAGTATTTGGAGAATACATTTGGATTTCGTATATTGTCTTTAATTTTCTCTGTAACCAAACAGAGTCTAGGAGTTTTTGTTTACCATTTAGTTTTCGATTCAAATGTGGTGAGACTTATATTTTGCCATGCTTCTGTTTCATGTAACTAAAACAGAAAACATATGAAATTTTAGGTAGAGAAGTGTCTGAAGATATCAAAATTATAAATGGGTTCGAAGTCCAAGCGTGCTTCAAGACTTAAAGATAGGATCAGCGACTTACCGGATTCAGTTCTTTGTCACATACTTTCCTTTGTTCCAACAAAATATTCTGTGAGGACTAGTGTTTTGTCTACAAGATGGAAGAACATGTGGGCCGCTGTTCCCAATATAGATTTGGACAATGAGGATTTTCCCAACTATCATGGTTTTACGATGTTTGTTGATCGTGTACTTCTCTTCCGTGGCTCATCCGACATTGAAAATTTTCATCTTGATTGTCACTGTATGGGGGATTTCCCTCGTATTGATGCTTGGATTCGCACAGCCATTATGCGTAATGTTGCTGAACTTGATCTTTGTGTTTAACCACTTGAGCAGAATATTTTTGAGTTGCCTAAAGGCCTTTTCGTGTGCAAAACACTGAGGGTTCTGAAGTTGATGGCAAGTTTTGTTACCAATACGCCTACGTCATGATGCTTACCAAGTCTCAAAAGCCTTTCTGTTACAGTTAGGTATCCTGATAACGACCTGATAGAAAAGTTTTTGTCTCGCTGCCGTGCAGTTGAAGATTTAGCTATAATGGAGTTGTTGGAGAACATGAAGTTTGGAATTTCAATATCTCTGCAGTTGGACTGAAGACCTTAAGAATAGATTTGGAAACTGCCCCTGATTGAGGAGATGTTTGTGATTTGGCTATGAATAACGAGTGCATTGATGCACCAAAGCTTGAAAACTTTGATTACAAGCAGATTTTCTTGTCAAATTGTGTATTGGAGAATGCAAAATCCCTGGTCAAAGCCACTATTCATTTCGATGAACATTTTGCTTGTGAATGTCCTGTCCATGCTAGCCGCGTAACTACTCTTCTGCTACAAATTTGTAACGTTAAATGTCTGTCTCTTGCGGCACATTGTTTGGAGGTAAGTGTGCTCTTGTTTCTTACAATATGTTTGGTAGAGAGGATTATATTTGATAAGGAAAGAAGAGGGTGGTTGACAAAGGGGCAAGAAAATATAGATGCTGCATATTTTCTGCAAAGAAGGAAGGGTCTATGACTTTCATTTCCTTCAAATTGGATAGGTTGAACTTAAGCAGTTTTGTAATTGTGAAGATTATTGTACCCTTTTTCACTCAAGACCCAATGAGGAAAAGTTTTTGCATCTTTTCTTCCATGATATCCTAAACTACACAAGGGATTGACACATGATTGCATCCTTTCATCATCCATTCTACTTGCCCTATTGATAATTCTTATCATTTTTTCTTCACACTAGCCATGGTTTTTGTAACTTGCAGCCCTCTACTTTGTTCATTTATAGTTGGAAATTGTGAGGCCTTGGTGCAACAGAAAAGTTGCTCCTTTGTGACCGAAAGGTCACGGGTTCAAGTCATGGAAACAGTCTCTTTGCAAAGTAAGGGTAAGGCTGCATACAAGACGAGCCTTGTTGGCTTGGGGTTGCCCTTATAGTTAGAAATTGTATAGATGCATTAGTATATGTTTTAACTACTACTCTAGTTTCTAATACTCTATTTTTTATGAAGGTCTGTCAGCTGCCTGCTTTTGCTAATTTGAGCCAACTGAAGCTAGTTCTTAATGCTTGCTGTTCTTGGTGGGCAGAGTTCCTCCAGAGATCACCTGTTCTGGAATATCTTGTCGTAGACTTTAATGTAAGACATATAGATTTATGCTACGTAACACCAACTTGCAGCTCTTAGGCTGAGTTTTTGGATGAGGGTTTTCCTAGTTCCAAGGGATTGATGTCAAGTTATTAAAGAATGGACCACAAAATGCAACATAGAAGGGATTAGAAAAACCTCCATGATCATTACATAGGCATATGAGAGGGATTTGCTAATCCCTACTTGGGAGGTGTCATCTACAAACCTCTCTCACATGCCTTGTAATGCTCAAGGAAGGCTTTTCTAATCCCCTCCGATTAACATTTTATGATCCACTACTTCATAAGTTGACATCAATCTGTTGGGACTTGGAAAACTCTTATCCAAACATAGCCTTAATGATTCTCATTTCATTCATTCTTTTAAATCACTGTCAGGTCTTCCGTAGTTGTGGTTTTGAATCTGAGCTGGTACGAGAATACCCACATTTTCAATTCAAGTTGCCAAGGGTTCGATGGAATCCGCCAGATTTTGTGCCTAGTTGTTTGCACTATCTGTATAACAGGATTAATGGGAAGGCCGCATGAGGTGGAAGTGGCAAAATTTTTGCTAGAAAATGGAAAGGTGTTGAAAAGAATGACAATACATACCTGTCGTGGTATTTTGCGTACAAGGAAGGAATTATACAAGAAGTTTTTGATGTTTCATCAGGGTTCGAACACATGCGAGGTTGAATTTCCCTAAGATGTAGATTTTTCTCATTCACAAGGATCTATCTTTGAAGTTCGAGTGGTTTAGAATGATACTGTAATCAAAGTTGTAAAAGCACCAGTTTTGTTGATCTTTTGATTAATCTATTTGTAGTACAACTTTCTTCCACACTACGTTGTGATCGACAGTCTCACGACGTCGGTTTCCGATCCTATTAGTTTACAATTTCTATCAGATATGAGATGTAGGAAGCCAATTTGTTCAATAGAATGAATTAAGCATATTTTGGGTCATGCCTGAGATTTCATGTTTCTTCTCAACAACTCTGCTTTACCTTCTGTAAGAAACAGGCACAGGTACAGCTTTCTATTGGGCTGTGGAGGGTTCCACCAGCCCCTTGCATTGGGTTTATTTTCATTACATTTGTATGAGAGTCATGCATGCAGGTAAGAATACGATGACCATTTAGCATATGTTTAGGATGAAAGAGTATCTTTTAAGGATCTTCAAGTCTCTTGCAAAAAAAACATAATATTTGCACTGAAAGCATAATGATTCTATTAGTAATAGCAAATTTGTTTTTAATACGAGCGACATTCATACTCTAAATTACATTTAAGAGGGGCAGTTTGAACACATAATACAGTGGAGGAAGACACTAATCACCGTAGCAATCCACCACTTGCATTAATTGTAAATCCTTTTATTTGAGGTATTGGGAGAAACTAATGGTAGGCAATATTGTTGTTTGATGCAAAAACATTGATCACCAATTCCTAATTCAAGCCTATCTGAATATAAGATTGAAGATACTGATCCTAATTCTATTTGCATCTCTTTCGTTGGAGTTCTATAGTGCATATTTCACAAGCTCGCAATCTCTTTCCATAAAAGTTAAACTCTTCAACCCTTAGTAAAATCATTTCCAAAGTGCTTGTTGATTAGCAAAGTAATAGCAGTTAGTTCTGACATAGAGTATTGTTAAGTTGTGTTTTACATACATCATCCAATTCCCTTATGTTTAATTACTCATCGAGCCACTACTAACATGATAATTTGAAATGATAATACGCAATCTAATTAATAAACAACTAGTAAAATCATATTAAAAATATTATATATAAAACCGATTAGAAACGAAAAGATGTGATTACAAACCAAGCAAAGACATGACTGAATAAACAAGTGTGAATACTACAAATTGCGATTAAACTGATCCTAGCTAGGAGCATCAATTTGAAGTGCAACATTTTGTGGCATGCTTTGACATTTTGTTAAATGGTTTTTGGCATCTCCAAATTTTGGCAGTGAGAGTGCACTTGATTTACCTAACACAAATCATGGACTGGAATTCTCAATATTTAACAAATTTCCCCATTCCCAAACATATGGCTGGAAAACAGAATCCCAAAAGCATATATAAGGCCATCCCTAACCGATCCGGCCAGAGGTTTATAGGGCTAAAAATAATCCGAAATGACACGAAAACAGTCTCTAACCAAGGGTTAGGCCAAAGGGCTCATGGGCCCCATGGGCCCAAATAAGCCAACCAGCCCCGGGCCGGTCCAAATGAGCCAGCCAGCCAGCCCCGGGCAGGCCCAAATAATTCAAATCCAATAGCTACTGGCATTAGCATAATGCAGTAGTCGTTGGAAACTCAACGATGCTTCGAAAATTTGAGTTCTGAACGACCTCCAAATTTTCAGACTTACTTAAGAAAACCATGTATATCTCTCAAATGCGTATTCAACGCCATATTGTGCATGTCTCAACTATTGCACTGTGCGATCAGTTAATCAGGTGAATAATGTAATTGCTCTTAAGTATTTATCCAAAGTTCAAAGCCCATATGAGTTTTCTAATATTTGAGAATTAAGTATGATAAAGATAGAGTGGGCCTTGCATGCCATCTCAATCTAGTTTAGAAAATAATTTATTATTGCTAGGAGCAAGAGACCAAATGAGATTTTCTAATGATATGAAATTGGGATCAAAATCCTCTCCTGAGCTTAGAAGGTAGAGTTCTTTAAATAAATCACACGGATCGTTAGATCAAAATTTAAAGATTATAAATAAGAGGTCCCTCTAAAAATTATAATAATTGTAGCCGTTAGATTTTGATCCAACGAGCCGTGTGATTTACTTAAAAGGCCTAAGCTCAGGAGAGGATCCTGATTCATTGCACGAGAGGCACGAAAAGGGAGGACGTGTGGACCCCAATATTGTGCCACGTGGACTTCTTATTTTTGATCGATGGCTGTGGGCTTGTAGTGGAGACACATAAGACGCGGCGGATGTTCTGGTTTCGATCGATGGCGGACCACGGCGTTGCTGCTGCAGCAGCACAGTGCTTGGATTCACACGACCAAAATCAATAGGTTATAGACTCAATGTCACTCTTTTTGGTTTTTTAGCTTTGTTTCTTCTTATTTTTTTTGTTCTTGTAGCAATAACAAATAATAGTAATAAATGACCAAAATTAAAAGAAATGTAAAAAATGCCACATAGACGCATAACAATAATAAATGACGTACTATTTATTCCAACCGAGATGTCAAAACTGATATGGAAAAGAAGACTAAGCTGACATGGACAAAGAGACATCAAATTTGAAATTGTCTTCAAATATCATTTTTGCTATTTCCAAAGGCATTTCACTTGCCTTACCTTAAATGCTAGCATATTTAAGTATTATTTTATTATTTTTAAACCAATAACAACTCAACTTTTATTATTTTTGTTTGAAAAAAAAACATTAATGAAGCAATAAATTTTGGCACATTCGGTGGAAGGAAAATATTGAAAATATATCAAATTGCCAAATCAACCATCAAATTGAAGTTTGTCGTTTAAATTTGACATCTCCTTTAGAGATGCTCTTACATTTTAATTAATAATTTTCAACTTACTTTCTCACTTAGGTCTTGTTAGAATACTCTTTCCAGTTGGTTTTGTCAGTCAAAGGATGTTGCTTATAAGTTAAATTAATTAATGAAATGGTGAATCTCAAGGTCTTTGGTTTTCAACGTCTAGCACCTCTTCACATATTCATTTTAACTTTCCTCACACATTCAGTCAATTTATTGATTAAATACAATTGCCACAAATTAAGAGAGATGTATAGAAGGTAAAAAATAACGTGTGGATAGAACTATCCCTAGTAAATGTAATTTTAAGCCAAGTTTATTAGAAGACTACACATTCATTTTAACTTTCCTCACACATTTTGTCAATTTATTCGAGTCAATACAATTGCCACAAATTAAGAGGGGTGTATGGAAGAAAAAAAATAACGTGTGGATAGAACTATCCCTAGTAAATGCAATTTTAAGCCAAGTTTATTAGAAGACTACTATTATTTTCGGTTGTAAATTGTATATCTATTTGTGTCTATCTTCATGCAAGACATAAATAGATACACAACTTGTTTACAAGGCTGATTGTCACGAGATCAAGCTAATTAGTAATCGGAGTATTATTAAAGATTTTTAATTATCTCTTGATTATCTCTTGTCGCATAAGATACAAAATAATATACAAGTAGATTCTCAATTGTATTAATTAAGAAGGAACATGAATTCTATTAATTATAAACAATGACTCGATCTCCATCACTTCCCATGAACTTCTAGCAGTGAAAAAGAATAACAATATATACCGAATGGATGAGTTAAAAAATACAGTGGGTGTGAGTGACACTCTGTATAGCTCGGATCTCAAACAAGAAGAAGACTCTCTCTATCTCTCTCTCTCTCTCTCTCTCTCTCAGATTCAGAAGTGCCAAAACAAAAAGTCTTAGGAGGAGGAAGGGTGTGGCACACAAAATGGGGCCATGGGTGAGACCACCGGATAAGGTGGGTTATGAGCGTAAGGTGGGGTAGGAGCATGGTGAGTCCAGTGTTTGAAATTTCTTCGATACAGTCGAAATTTTTATGAAAATATCTAAAAATTTAAAGAAAAATATGGAAATAGAGGGTAGAAACATTTAAGTTTAAGCTAAAATCGATAAGTTTCGTCGATATTTTCTGACATATCAGTTAAATATCAAAGAAATTCTTATATTTCGTCCAAACCAGTGTTTGACAATCCCTAAAGTTTAATTTTGAATTTCCATTATTTCCATCGAAGGCAACCAATATCGACATGCAATATATCCATCGATATTTTCAGACCCTGGGTGAAACACAAAAAAGAAAATTGTAGCAATGTCCTTCAACTAAAAATTCATGACCCTTGGTCTTTAGAGCATGTCCAATGGAAGTCCCTATTTAGAGACTCTCACCACCACTTTTAACTTTTAAGTACTTATTTAGGAACTTAAAGGGAATCTTTGTGTTCCTAAAAGAATATAGCCTCTAATGGTAGAGTCCTTATAGTAGAATCCCTAAATTTGAAAATTTTATGATTTTATGTGATAATTTGATTAGGTGCACATTTTTTGTTTATGTTAACTTTTTTCTAATCAATTAAAAGCATTAAAATTAAAAGCTTAAAATCTTCAATCAAGATTGTGGATCCTGTTTTCCCCTCCAGGTGCACATTTTTTTTGTTTATGTTAGCCATTTGTAATTAATTAAAAGCATTAAAACATTAAAAGCTTCAATCAAGAATGTGGGCTCCGTTTTCCACTCAAGGTTATCCTTATATAGTCCTTATATTTGAGGACATACAATATGTATCCGGTGAGTCTTCATACTTTAAGGACTCACTTTTCGACCCATTAGAGATTCATTTATCCTTATATTTGTTTTATACCCATTTTATATGATGGTTGCCCCTATTTAGGAACTCCACTGGAGATGCTCTTAACTCATCAAAACATGTAGCTATGGTCATTTTCATCAACTCCGTTAAAACTTCTGTCAAAATGAGTCACATGCCACACACGTGAGGTCAGAATCAAGGGGAAAATATGGAAAACTAAATGAAAAAATTGCAGAAATTGTCCCTCAACTTTAACCCAATTGGAAGCATGGTCCCTCAATTTTAACTCAATTGTAGCAATGATTCTTCCAACATGACTCGTTTTGACGGAAGTTTTGAAGGAGTTCACGAAAAGGACTATACTTGCACATTTTAAAAAGTTAAGGGATCATTGATCATGAATTTTTAATTAAAAGATTATTTCTTCAATTAAATTAAAATTAAAGAATCATTGTTCTAATTTTCTCGACACAAGATGAGACCGAGTAACATGACAATATCAAGAGAGTGGAGTAAAAGATAACTTTTGTGTGTAGACCGTATGAGCCACTTGATCCCCTCTCCGAATATTAGACCTTCTTCCTCACTCCTCACTCCT